TGTGTAACTATGAATTACGAATTAATAATTGGCCTGATGAATTAAGCAATTATACGTTTATGCACCGCACAATCATTACACAAGTTACAAGCACAAATTTTAAGCAAAGAAAAAAAATATTAATTTAAAATTTTATATAATAATTTATGAAGTATTATAAAGCTATAATCAAAGTACTGCAGTACATTGTGGACAAGAAATATCGCGTATTATATTTAAATTTTAAATAACTATAAAATAAAACTAAATGTAAAAATAAAATGCATTGATACATGTATATTAACTATTAATGTACATGTATATATATATATATGCATATTATATGTATTTTTTGTATACGTAAATATTTATATATTTATGAATTTAAATTTATTGCTTATATTTGTCGCGTATCTAAACAGTGTAATTTTTAAAAAAAGATATAATTTAAATTAATTAATATTCTAATTTGTACCAGCCTAAACTGCTGTTTAAGTATATATCATCAATTTCCCTGAACCTCTGAAAATTTTTATTACAAATTTAATAAAAGAAAATTAATTTATAACGAAATATTTTATCGGATATCAATTTAACTGCTATTTATTTACAATAGATGGATTCTAAAATATTTTAACATTTTTCCTCTTCACAAAAAATAAAAAATTAGTTATTGTTCATTAATAAATCTATACATTTTTTATATATTTTTACATGGATCATCAATAAGCATTGAGTTTATAATCATTAAAATTGGCAATTCAAATTTAATCTTAATTTAAAAAATTAGATTATATTGTCACAATCTGAGCTAAGATTTACGTAACAGCATTATACAAAACAATATTATATAAATAGAGCAGAAAAAAATAATATATTATTTATAAATAAAATCTCATCTTTATTTGATATCATTTAATATCTTTATTTAATAATAATAAATTAAAAAAAATAAAAAAATATTCTTTTTTATTAGTCGCATTTCTTAGCTCAGTGACATAATAATTTAATAAATACAAAGGTTGTATAAGGTGCTATGTATAAATATAAGTACAAGTTTTAGGTTCAGGGACCAATAAAAGAGCTAATTGCTCTATGCAGCAGTCTTCTAAATAATTGGTTTGATTTGGATAAAGTATACTGATTAGAAATATAGTAGTATTTTTACAAATGCTATTAAAATTCCTGCTTGATTTTTATACATGCCTTTTTATTGGCTACTTTTTTCAATGGCTTTGTAATTTTCAGTATACTTTATGCAGAGCTTTACCACAATATATGTTCCTTACAAACAAATCATTAATAATGTCTTTTTAAGAAAATATTAATTAGAAGACATTATAATTATTATAAATATCGTAATTGTTATTGTTGTTGTTATTGTTATAAAAAAAAGTATTAATACTTTTAACAAACTTGTCATATAGCAATGCGTGCCAGAACTGAAGCTTTCTTTTGATATAGATCTATTTAATAATTAACTAATAACTATACGAAGCAAAATGAAACACAAAAATTATATTTTTGGCTAATTTAATTTTCTATGCAATATATTGATGTCATTATTATTACTGCAAACTTTGATTACTTTTTGCAATATATAATTTTTTAAAAATAAATTATGAAACAAAATATGAAAATAGAACTATATATTGTGTCATTCTTATATAAAAATAAGGAAAAATAAGAAATTCATTTCTATATTAAAAAAAATTATATATGATTTCAATATTAATTTAATATCAAAATTTTCATTATTCATTACAACGAAAACAAAAAAGACGAAATATAAAATTATACAATATAGGCAGCATAGATGTATGATATTACATAATTAATTTATTAATTTAATTATCGATATTCAAACACGAAATATTTTGATTAAAATAAAGTGTTTCGTTTTTACATTCCATAAGTTTAATTATGTGAAAAAAAATATTTATTAGACTAATTTTCAATAAATTGTAGATATTTATTTATATAATATTTAATAACGATACCAAAAAATTTGTTAATTTATTATATAGTTCATTTGATTGATTAATATAATAGATTTATACAATTCTAATGACAGTCAATATAATAGCAGCCTTATAAAAAAACAAGGAAAATTTTATTAAAGGATAATCTTAAGCTTTAATATTCTGAGGCTACATTCTATTTTAGAAAGTATACAATATAAAAAAATTTATGCAAAATAAAATGAATTAAAAGCTATAGAAATTTAAATATATTATAAGAACTAGTATTAATAATTTTGACTTTTGCAAAGCACACTTAGATGTAAATACGTATATGTTTTTAGCTTAAATTTATAAAAGAAAAATATAAACTGCATAGTTCAAACAAAAAAGAAATAAAGGCTGTAAATATATTGAATTTGATACATAAAAAACATTTATATCTAGCTCTAATTGCAAAAATGCATACCTATTTTCATATGATTATAAATTAAACTTTTAATGTAATTATATTATATCATTATTAGGCACAATTTTTTTCATTAAGTTTTATAATGTTTTTAATAAGTAATTTTCAATGACGAAATAACGAAATGTAATTTCAAAAAATATGTACATATAAATATGTTTTGCTTAATTTGATGTAGCAAAATCTGCATTTAAAATTTACATACTAAAAATATATCATACAATAAATGAAATTGTTCTATTATTTTTATAAATTAATTATACATTATTAATTTTTATAAGTTATAAAAATATAAAAGCATATTATTATATTTTTAATTTTCTATATTGCCAATTTCAAAAAATATAAACTACTTTGCGATAAATATAAATGTATATATGTAATATGTTCTGATACTACAAATATACATGAAATATAATCAAAACAATAGATTTTATTCGAAATTTTTTAAATATTCTTATATCTGAAATTATGTATGATAATATTATTTTTTTCAATAAATTTAAAATATATTTTTTGTTATTTACAAGAACATATAAATAATTATAATTCAAAAAATTGAAAAATTGAAATTAATTATCTAGATATATTAATATTATAAAAATTTTCTTCTTAATGAAATAATAATATAACTATACAAAAGTTATAATTAATTGAAACAATATTCACTTACAATTTAAAATAAAATTGTGAAATCATTAATTAAAATAATTTCTTTACTGTTAAAATAATAATCTCTAATAATTTTATAAAAATGTAAATTAATATTTTACATTAATATAAAAAAATATGTGTTTCGTCTATTATAATTTTGTAAAAAAAATTAGTACTTTTCTTCTTTATATTAATATTGAAACATTCATTTAAAGAAAGAAAATGAAAATATTATTATATAAAAAAACATTGTTTTATGATAATGAAAATTTTATATGATTATAATGTAACGGAACTGCACATGAAAATTTAACATTCATTGATATATAAAAAATTTTGTAATATTAATGTATCATTCTATAAAACCTTAAGTTGCAAAAAAATAAATAAAGATAGTTATTTAATAAATAACACATTTTAACACAAATAAAACATTTTATTTTTTAATTATAAACTGTTACTAATTAATTGTATCTAATGAATTTTTAAATTTATAGGAATGCAGGTATACCAATCTTAAATATATTTTATATTTGGTATCTATATATTTGGATCTATATATAGATTTATATATTTGATATGAATATGTTTTCAATGTATTTGAATAAAAAAATGAAAAAATTATTACATAATGTGTAAAAATAATTATAATAAAAAAATTTAATAATATTTAATCTTTATATGAAATAATTAATTATTTCACTTTAATCATCAATTATTTTTTTTATATAAATTGTAATTATATTAAATTATTATTATATTTTAATTAATATTAATATATTATAAATTATATTATAAAAACTATATAAATTTAAAATATATTTTACATAGTTTAAAAGTAAATTTAAAAGTAAATTTAAAAGTAAATTTAAAATATATTTTAATATTCTATTATGGATATTTTTTGTTAAAAAAATATATATTTGTAATATTCGTATAAATAATGATTTATCATATTTATATGCAATAAAATACAATATATCTATAATATTCGATTGTAATAATATAAAATTATTATTCAAAAAGACATTAATCAAATTAAATATCAAATTCAAAATTTCAATTAATAATATTAAAAAGATATTGTATTTAAAAAATTACAATTCATTAATTAATAAGACATTTATATAAATTTAAAATTGTAATTTCTTTTGATAAAATTAGTTTCTTCGAAAGCAGAACTATATTGACGTCAACGGAGATCGATAGCTTTACTCACGGTATGAATCTACAATACTTGAAAACGTTCACGGTAATTTGTCATCCATTTCTCTAAACAGTTGGCAGAATTTGTGCGTGTGGTGTGCGCTAGTCTGCCGACGGCGTCCGTTCATAGAAAAGAGAGAAGACATAAGAGTCCTTTGTCAAATTAAAGGAAAGTAATTTAGTTGAGAAGAAATTTTAATAGTTAGACAAAAGAGATATCAAGAAAACTAAGGGTAACAAAGTGATAGTTCAGCTGCGTTTTGGATTTTTTGACCTCTTGAACTCCCCGCGGGTTTTTTCTTTCCCGCGAGGTGAATAACAGTGGTACATAGCCAAACCCCTGACCCCTCTGAAGCTTCGCGCCTCGGCGCCTAGG